CTGGTCTTACTGCTTAAAATAAGCGGCAAGTTACGTGGTAGGGTTCTGAAGGAACGTTAAAAAAGCGGTCATCTTCAACGATGCCGCTTAAACCCGCGTATTGCTGCATGTTGTTGGTTTAAAACCGGCTGTTGGCATCCCAAGCGTGGGAAGACGAGCCCTCGAAAAGAGAAGTTAAGACCCGAAGGGGCTCTGAGCTTTCGCGTTAGATGTACTTACAGAAACCGCCCCTGCTTTCTGAAACTCTGAATTTATTACATTTTCTATTTTTCCTGTAACTTGACCTTTCAGGAATTGGCTGCTCCAGTGTAAGAGAAGAGTAATGTTTTAGCAGTGCTCTTGATACCGTATGTTGACTGTATGGTATCACCCAAAATAGTTCCTTGGGAAGAAAACTCTCTCTTACACAGAAAAATACTCCATTTGACTCACGGGCATACAGGAAGCCATTTGAAAATATTTAGAACTTGGATGCTTATCTGTCTCATAATAACCTTGTGCAGCTTCACCTTGCATTAGTGTTGAACCTGAATAAGCAAGGGGCGGAGACATCTGGAAGAAAACCCATGTTTTTCTCACAGAAGGAAAAAACCCTATAAAATTATAGAATTCTTTATTTATAAATAAAGTTATCTTTAACTTCTTACTGGAAGAAATGGGTGAGCGCATTGATGATCTTGAGAAGCATGTCACTGACCTGATGACAGAGGCTGGGATAGAAAACACCGATGAAGAGTTGAGAGTAAAGAAACTTAAGTTTTACTTGTATTTTACATATTTCCACTTAGTTTTGAACTATAGGCAGCAACCAGCATGAAAATACTGTTTACATATTTATCATACCTGCATTTACTTGGATTTTAAAGTATACTGCGATATCTTAAAAGATTTCAAATTACCTTGGATTTCTTTCTGCCAGGAGCCAAAGAATTCTACCGCTTTTTCAAAAGAACACAAACTGTAGCTTGGTGCATCTGTTCTAGTAGTGCAAACTAATCCCAAGTATGTAAGCTGAGGCTGGACATTTTAAATGAAATACACGTGCATTAAAGCACCCCTGCCCACTACTGCTGTCCCTCAAGCATGCCAGCCTATCTGACTGAGGATTCTCGCTGGTATAAATTTATGTATATCTCTTTTTAAACCTGCTCCAGCTTCCCAGTGTGGCTCAGAGCACACCTCGTAAATACCTTCACCCTGAACAGAGCAGTTGTTTGTTCTTGCAGCAGTGAGACGGGGGATGGAAGGAGCAAGGATAACTTCAGCATTATTGTCAAACACTCTGTAATATAAAATCATGCGACAGTTCAGGATTGCGTTCTAGGTTTTGAATCGCTATCTGTTGCAAATGCCCCCCCCCCACCTCCCCAGTGAATTTACAAGACAGCATTGCTTCCGTGTTACGTGGGTGCCAGCGACGTGTTCTTCCTGTTGCTGCACGTTTTTCCTGAGACTAACTGTGACGCACTGGTTATTTCTGTCATTTGGAGACTGCTTACCCAGTGAAGGACAGGAATGTCTGTAAATAATTAGGCATCTATTCATTCTGATACCTTTTTCATTATAAGCAATAAAATAATTTTCAAAACTGTAAGAAGACAATCCATGAAGATGTATTTAATTGTGCAGAGACTTTCCTATTTTTATGCTGACTTACATTAATGAATAATTAAACCACTAACCTATTTACCGTTTCTTTGCAGCATTGAAACAAGGATGTGATCAAGAAAGATAAAAGGGAGAACAGCACCGCACTGAATCTGGGACTTTACAGTCATTGTCACTAGTCACAAAAAGCGTCTGTGAAAACACACGCTTGCATCATATCACGATAGAATCTCAAAAATTTTTTTAAACTCTTGCCCCAGGAAAAAAGAGAAAGCTGGGTTTATTCATCTAAAAGGGACACCGTCTTTCCTGTAATTGGGAAAGAACTGTTAGTTTCAGGGGAGGCAAAACTACTATTTTGGATAGAAAACTATATCCAGTTACAAACTTTTTCAATGTATGAAAATGTATTTCATTTATTTTAATAATATTAAAATTTTAATCATGTTTCTTTGCTGCCTTTTTAATTTCATGTTCTCAGAATTACAAGATTCGTTTCCATTTGCATGTGCCATTTTGATGCTCCTTTAAGTGTTTTGCATTAAAAAATGCACCTTATCTTATTTGACGTTATTACAAAGGTAACTTTGCAAAACTTCAGAGGTCCAATGAACATAAACTGTTCTGCACTAAAAGAAATGGCCGTATTTGCAGAGATTATAGCTGTTCAGTTGTCAGTCTTTTCACAAGCACACCCAGAGCTGTCCACACCTGTGCAGATAACATCATCCAGATACACATATTGTGCCCATTTCAGTTCTTTAACATTAGCCATTTTGATGAAAGATCTTATCTTAAAGAGTTTGAGATAGATAAGGAATTCTAGTTAACACGTCCTGTACAAGACACTGTAGAGTCAAAGAAATCAGAACATCTACACTACCTTTAAGGTTTTTTACACCAAAACATTGGCACTTTTTGCAGGGAAGTCTGTTTGAAACTTAATGGGAACATCTTACCACAAATGCAGAAATGGAAGCATTACCAGGTAAATAGAATACCTCAGCTAATGAAGGATAAATATGCTTTTTAAAACTTTGGCAGGTGTTAATACTTGCCACTATTACAGAGTCTTCATTAATATCAAGAAAACATTCTAATCAATGCATTAATCAGTGTAGATTTGCAAGCACCGTCAAACTGAGAGGGGTTTGACAGAGGACAGGTTGGAGAAACGGGCCAACAGGAACCTCATGAAGTTCAAAGCCAAGTGTCAAGGCTCACCTCTAGGACAGGGTAAGCTTATGCTGTGCAGGGCAGTTGTGAGGGGCAGGGGTGAGCGGGCTGGCACGCAGCTTTGCAGGAAAGGAGTGGGGTCTGGAGGACAAAGTGAAGGGGAGTCAGCAGGGTGCCCTGGCAACAGAGGCTGCAGCCACATCCTGGTCAGTGTTACCACAAGTAGAGCCAGCAGGTCATTCCCCTCCATTCAACTCTAGTGAGACTACACCCAGAATACTGTATCAGTTTTGGGGCTCCCCAGTTCAAGAAATACATGGTTATGAGGGAGTCAAAACAGAGGGCCACCAGTATATGGTGGAGTACAAAGCATATGAGGGTTTGAGAGAATTCTGTTAGTTCAGCCTTCAGAAAAAGACTATGGCTTCTTGCTGGCAACAGCTACCCCATAGCAGAGCATAGGGAACAGTTCAACTCGGTGGTGGTGTTTTATGAGAGAGTTAACAGACACAAGCTGGAACACAGTAAATTCCAGCTAGATGTAGGGCACACTTTTTTCAACTATGAAGGTGCTCAAGCAGCAGAACTGGCTTTCCAGAAAGGCTGAGGAATCTCTATCCTTAGAGATATTCAACACTGGACACAGCCCTGGGCAGCCTCATCAAGTAGGACCTACTTTGACTGGGAGGTTAGTGGTCCCTTCCAACATAAATGATTCCATAATTAATAACCACTGCAAACCAGATTAACTTAAGCAGAAATTGGGCCCCTGTGTTCTACTTTGTTGCCTCATTCTAAATTCCTTAAAACACACTTGACAGTAAAAAAAGCATATTTGTCAAAAAGCATTTTGTCTTGTGACAAACTGGACCAAAAGTACAGGTATCTCCCTCTCTGCATAACCTGGCTTGTTTTTTTCTTTACCCTATAAATATGCATGTATCTGTTTAAAAACAAAACCCCCACAGAACAGTCTCCATTACCACAAAACAGGTGTCAGAAATGCAAATGGAAACTTCAGAAGCCATGCCACAGTGGAATTCAATCAAGTCTTTGAGTATATATGCATTTTAGTATACCATTAAACAAATTGTAGGTCAAATGACAGAAAGCACACCTCATCCTGTCTTCAGCTGTTGACTATGCAGCCAGCTCCAGAACTACAATTACCCCCTGGTACTGCAGAATCTAAGCGCTTCAAACTGAGGACTGTATGCATAATCACCATGAAAAAGAAGTCCACCACCACAAGTCAATTAAGTTGATTGTGGGAGGATGGGGGAGTCGGAAGGCGTGCACAAGGTCATGGAAGAAATTTCCTCTGAGTTTTGCACCTTAGTTGCACCTTACTGTTTTATTCCTATTTTTAGTGGATACAGAAGACCAAAATACTATGCCAGGAAATGCTGACACAAGTGATAAGCCTTCATCTTCAACATTATGACTTCGCATCCAATTCCATTTGTTTTCATTCTCAAATTTAATTAGGTGAAGAAAATTAAGTTGAATAAGGGGAACTCACTTTATTCTTTTAAAAAAGCTATAGCATAGTTTTCCCAGACATTTGTGTAACAACAGTAAATAAAAACAGCTGAAATGTTTTTCTTGCAGATTTCTGCAAAATGTGTTTTCTGTACAAAAATACGTAATACCAAAAGGACAACACAAAGTAAAGTCTTTAAAAAATAAAAATAAGACCAAAAACCAAGCCAAAATTCAGCTACAGTATTACTGCAGTCAGACAGTTCCAGGCTTCATGTCTTCTACTTTTCCAAACGTAATTCCAGAATTCAAACCTTTTAAATAATTCAAAATGTGCTCAAAGTTGAAGGACTTGTAGGGTTTTTCCTTTTAAAATATATATATGTACACACATACACAAGAATAAATTTAAGTGGATGTAGAGTTAAAAAAAGGCAGCCCCCCAAAAATGTCAGTATCTGTATTTAGTGGAATAATCTTTTGGCGATACCACCAAACCTCGACCTTTGCGGGCTCCTCTATAAACAGTTTCTATAATGTCAATCATCTCTTGCTTATCTTCCATTGCCCAGTTGATCTTGTTGTTATTACCTGTACCTAAATCAATCATGATGTGCTTGTTCCTTTAAAGGGAAAGAAAAAAACAGACAAGTTAATATGGTATTATAATTCGGAAAGAAACGTTGTATCATAGAATTACAGAACAGTTTGAGTAGGAATGGATCTTTAAAGGTCATGTAGTCCAACCCCCTGCCATAAGCACAGACATCTTCAACTAGATCAGGTTGCTCAGAGCCCCGTCCAGCCTGACCTGGAATGGTTCCAGGGATGGGGCATCTGCCATCTCTCTGGGCAACCCGTGCCAATCTCTCACCACCCTCATTGTGACAAATTTCTTCCTTATATCTAGTCTAAATCTAACCTCTAAATTTACCCCACAAGAATGCTTTGAAGGATTCAAAAAAAGCCCTTATAAAGCTTGCAAAATAAGCCTCAAAGAAAGAGTATCCACTCCTGTCACTCAAGTTGACATTTTATGCCTATTTCTAAAGCTAGAAGACTGCAAACATGGTCCCAAGATTGCTACTCAGTGCAATTATCCTTCAGCATATTCCTCATTGTTTATATTTCTTTCCTACTACTAATATCAGAGAGAGTTCCACACTTGTCAGTAATACATTTTATCTCATCAGTGTAGCTGCCTTAGCTCAAAAAAATCTTAATATTTTGGGTATATCTTTAAAGCAACTTTGACAAGTTTGACTGCCATATTACTGCAGTATTCTGTACGGGGAGTTTGATTTAAAATTAAAAACAGTGGATAACAAAAACAGTTTTCACTATCACTAATTTGTACTCTATTACCAAAACACTGTTAGTAGGCTAATTGGAAAACAAGTCATTTTCCTCTTTAATCAGTTTACTCTTTTGTAGAGCAATGAAAATATAAGCATCAATATGCTAATATTCATTTAGAAATGGTCTACCGAGCACTGCATTTGACACACAAATATGTTAACTGAGTTACATTCTAGAACCATCATGTACCTGAAGAAAAACATGACGGTACAGGGATCATACAATTCGTACATCTTGTTGAAGTCTGGTACTTCAGTGATATCCACAAGATAAATAACAGCAAAGTTTTTTACCTAAACAAAAGAAAACAGGAAATATAAAAGCAATATATATTACCAAGCCTTCGATTATTTGTATTAGTGATTAAAAGATATAAGTTTTCATTACTGCAACATTTATTTTCCAAAATATTAAGTCATAAAAGTCACAGTAAACAGTCTTGCCATTATTTTTAACCACAATGACTCGTTAACATGTAAAATATTTTTAAATATAGCCAAGACCCTCATTTCACATCCAGTATCAACTGGAAAGATACCATGCTAAATCAACACCCAGAGAAACAAATGCGCTTTACATACAACCGAGACCTCACCGTGACATGCATAGCTCTACACAAGTAGAGCAACTGCTTTGTGCAAGTCAAGCTGACACATTTTGCCTCCATCATGAGCCACTTATAGACTTCAGAAAATTAATGATCTAAAATTCGCCAGTGCCTGCCTCCAAGCACTTCCCCCCCCCCATAAGCCATCTAATTTGTTTAACAAGGCTCATGAAATGAAAATAAACTTGATTAAAAAAGCTATCAGCTTTTATTACTAAATTGAGAGGTGTAAAGCTAAGATAGGAGCTTAAAACATTAATTTATAATACAAAAAGACCTTGATGAGAAGCTATTCTCTGGGCAATTCTGGTAAAACAGGCTTTCATTTTACAGAGTCACTGAGTTAAATGCACAAGAATCCCTCCCCTTTAATGTTAGTCAATGTCTTCATTCCTGAAAGAAAACAATGTCACATTTTTGTTTCCTAGATGTAGCATATTTGACCTTAAGTGGACCTAGGGGAAGTTTTAATTTCTAAACTTAGCTGGTACAGGTATAATAGAAATTAACACACACACACTAAAATCTAAGTCAGTAGGCATCTAACTTACACGAACCTTTAACTGTACTCATACATTATACCATGAATGCACAACCTTGCCCTCGATCCTTGCTTACACAGAAATAGTATTTTGGTCCTTCCCATTTGACTATATAAAATTACCAGTCTGAGCTAACGCATGTGGTCTAAGATTTATGACAAACTTACTGTTTGCCACAGTACTTCTCACTTGCTAATTTTCATAGAATCATAGAACAGTTTGGGTTGGAAGGGACTTTTAAAGGTCATCTAGTCCATGTTGCTATCAAATGTCTGGAAATGCTATGATGCATAGAATTTCTGATTCATGTAAAGATGTTTTATTTCAGTCCACAAAACAGGATTAGACTATACCAGAAAAATATTATATATGGTATACCCTGTACTTGAACAACCTAGCAGGTACTTTTAATCGAGAAAGTATGGAAATGTTTGTTTACAAAAAAAAAGGAGCACACAGTAAATTTTAATGGACTTCTGCTTCAAGACAAATCACACTTCAAAGATGTAAATAAGTATTAGTAGCAAAGAAAGTATAATCTCTTCTGGATTGAAACAGCATTTAAATAGTTTTTATTGTGCTTTTACAGAGCCAGTTATAATCTCACAAATAATCTCACAAAAACATCCAATTTAAGACATGTTCCAAAACAAGGCAAGAGGTAAAGCCTTGAAAACCCAAGGTAGTCATAATATCAAACTCTAACACTCTCTGAAGTGATTGTTCATGCCCATTTCAGTTTTATATGAAAGATTTCTAAGAAATTTAATGGGATGTTCAGAGTCAACAATTTAGCTGAGAAGTGACTGAAGTTGCTCCCTGCTTTAGCCTTAGGAGGCAAAAGATAGTTGTTTGTTGTTTAAAAAAAAACAAACCTACACACAAAAAACCCCACACAAAACCTGAAGAGCCATTTTCATTTTCTCCTATAATTTCTTCTTCCATCCTGCTGACATTTTTAGCATCAGCAGCACAGCCTCACCATGTGGGGAAATTTCTACAACACATTTGCAATTCCAAAAAACTAAACAATCTTTGAGCACTTACTTAATTTGGAGATTAGAAATTATTTTAAATTAAACTAAGCGTTAATACAACATTCTTAGGACCAGCTTTGTTCTCCGAAAGATTAGTCCAAGGAGATTATATATCGCACCGGAAGACCACTACAGAAGCACTGTTAAACCAAAATTTTACTTCCAAGAACTGTGTACTCCACATAGTACTAGAACAACAAAACTTTAAAAGTTAGCTTTACATTATGTACATTTAATTTAGTAGAGCTGTTGCAGAACCAGAAATACTTGTAACTAGCAATGAACATCAACAGCCTAACATTTTAGAAAAAGAGAACCAGACTATTTAAGTCTTAAATAAGTTATTACATAAACCTTATTCAAAAAGGTCTGGATCATTCAAATCACCCTTGCACAGCACATATGCCAGTTATCACCATAATCCAAGTATCTCAGACATTAACTGAATCTTCCTTCTCTCCTATATGGGAAGAAAAGCACAGCTACCTACTTCTACAGAAGTGAAACATGACAGTCACCTGCTCAAAAGCTTGTATGAAGTATAAAGCAGGCCTCAAAGCTAGATACAGACTCTCAAATTTGAATTCAGAACTTTAAAAGCAGCTCTATTCTTTCCCCCTTGCTTTCTTAATTTCAAATCTGACAAGATGACGACTCCAAATCCAAGCGCATTGAATAATAATGCGTTTTGTTTGAGTTTGGACACTGGCTACCAAGATTGCCCATGGCATGGGTCTTGCCATGCAACACTCCAATATAATATGTAGCAGCAGGAGGTTGGGATTCAGGCAAAAGAATTAACTAGATAAAAACATAGGTAAGAGGCTAAATATGGAAAAGGTGATGCAGAAGCACTGCAGTGGCCATAATATCTACTGTTTAGTGGCCACACCAGGCTGGGCAGGCTTGTCACCAAAAAGTATTTTTATTTCAACACAAGAACTACAGAACTACTCAAATGTCAATCTCCGCACAGTCTTGACCAGTTCACAGGAGCACAGAGGAGCTTCTGAGCCAGCTTCACACACAGACGGCTCTATTTCACAAGGCTTTAGCTTAGGCTTCATTTTAAGCAAAAGCAATTGAAGTATTTCTGGATTTAGGCTGGTGTGAATGCAGAAGTTGATCTATACTTGAGCTAGTAGGTCTGTGGAGACAAGCCAAAGCTTAAAACCTCTGCCCATTCACTGGGACATGACAGCTCTGGGGGATGGATTCAAAAACTACATTCCTATATAGAACAAGATTCACAGTGGTTGCTAAGAAGTTTTCTTTCTGACTTTTAAGTTATAGCTGGGGATACAGCATAGAGACCTCAGAACAAGAATTAAACACAGCTCTGAGCAAGCAAAACACACTAAATAAAAGCTGTTGCAGTCGTAACAATTGAGTCTCCACTGAGGTTGTTAATGTGTTGAACACATAACACCACAAGTTTATTCTGAAAGTACTTAACCTCATAACATACAGTAATTTTGTTGCAGTAAGTCAGCTGCTTTCTGAAAAACAAAAAAATAATCAAACAAAAAAATACCCTCTAGTGATAGACCTCCTTTTGGACAGCTCCACACTTTTTAAACACCTGAAGATAAGAACACTTTCAGCAGAAAAACAAGACAGATATTAACTTTTGAATGTATTTATTTCTGACCCTCTGACTTCCTTTATCCATCTTTCAACCTAAAACTTTCTCTGTCTTACCAGGCCATCATAGCTGCTGGAGTAGGAAACTAAAAGCCAATCAGCAGCATGGATTAAAAATTTTATCAGACTTACTTTCATGGATTTAGCTTTAATTTTGGTTGAGATTTTGGTGGTGTTTTTTTTTTTTTCTTACTGTAGCTTCACAAATTAGTCTACGTTATTCAATGGGAGTATACAAAAACCGAAAGTACATTATTGCCTAGCCACAGTTACAGGCTATTTTATAGTTCACAGAACTATATCTGCCTGGGTGGACTACTATTAAATCTTTAAATGGAACGCCTCAAGACAATAAAGCAGAGGAATCTATAGAACACTTAATATAAGATACAGATTCTGTATCCTATCATGATCAAGACCACACAGCTGGTAAATAGGAAACACAGGTATAGGAAAAAATCATATGCCAGAAGAAATAAATCTCATCTGTCCTCTGAAGTTCTCCCTCCCGAATTTCTTCATTAACAATGTTATTGCAAAAAAAAAAAAAAAAGCATTCCTACAACATGAGATTGCCACAGAACTATGATCATTGACTAATTGACTATGACAAATGGCAACAGCCATGACATTTATTTAAATTTCTGTTAGGGCTAAGTAATACTCTTTTTTTTTTTTTGTTAAGATTTCAGCTCCCTTTAAGAAGCAAATCTCACAGCCATGTTACCTTATGGCCCCAAGTGCATACAGAAATACCTAAGGAAATCTGAGACAAGAGCTAAGATTTCATCTTCCTAACCAGCTTCTAGACAATGTTTTTTATGTTTAGACATCTTTATGGACAAGGAAATCACAGGAAAAAAATACAGGAACTGAGACTAGAATTTGCAACAAATCATCCAAGTTGAAGAAGCCTATCAGACTTGCATTACTGAACTGAAAGAGGCTGCAACACAGTAAGTACCAACTTGAAAGTCTGTACTGTCAATATTTATTTGAATTTTTTTTCTTGCTAATTATGCTGTAAGTTTAGGTGATAAATTTATAGTGGAAAAGAGAGGCATACTGCTGAGACCAATACTTACAGCTAACAATTTTGAAAACTATAGACATGAGTAAATGGATTACCTTTGCTCAACTTTAATTACAAATACCAGTAACTATAATACC